GTAAAACAAGAAGCCAAAGCATTTCTGATCCTTACATCTATAACCCTCCAGAATAGCCTCTTCCTTGAGCTCTTCAAGTGGATCCTTAATAAAGTACAAGCAGAGATAAACATCACAAAGTAAAAGAAGCAAGTTCTTTAAAAGACAAGAAAGGCATAAGCAATATGCAGTTAACATTAACAACCTTGGTGCAACGAAGACAATTGCATTTGAAGAAATACTGTTTTAAGGCGTTTTGTCTAGTCATAGTGATTGCAGCAGTATCAATGTAACTAATCACAATCTTGAAGAGTGAAGCATATCAGCATATAATTTATTGACCTCATTTAAAATATATAACATCCATATAGAAAAAATTCCAAAATATCTCTTACTTCAGCACCCTTGCTAATCGGTTTCACAGCCCGAACTACAGCTATCCGACCCCCAAATACCAAAACTGCATTTGGTATACAACTAAACTTCCGCATGAATATAGAAAAGAACGATCAGAAGGCTCTGTGTAAAGCAAAAGATGAGCAAAGAAAATGATTTAGCCAAAGGTATCAACCTGTGATTGATAATGGAAACTACAGGATATAATCCAGTTCCCAGTGGTCTGAGCTCCTCGTCACAGATAGTATGAGCATTACATGAAAGCTGCATCAGATCCAGCAGAACTAGATTATTGAATTAAATTAATAAACTGATAAAAAAAAGATTCCTGAAGATGGAAAACGAAATTTAGTTCTGATATTTCAATCATGTTCCAATATTTTTCTTTGAAAACGCAAATTTAAATCAATAGATAAATGTTCATTTGTTTTTTTGCATTCCACAAATGGCAATCCCAAGTTGGTTCTATCAAGGATAACCCGATTAAACTAGGGATGGTATGATTGTCAGATGATGGTAGCATCCATTCCTGACAACTTAAAAGGAGCAAAAAGGTAGATTATGGACAAAAAAAGCTATTCTACGTGAAAGAGTCTGTGGACCAATGTTCAAAGGAGAAGATTATTTCTCATGTTTGTCCTGGGTCACAAGTACAAGCCACAAATTGACTAATAATTCTTCATCACAAAAAAAAATTTCTGCATAAGCTCCAACCTCCTCTAAAAGACAACATAAATGAAATACTACTTTTTGAATTATTACCTTTGAGAAGTTGTGTGTTATCTCTCTGAGATCAACCTCCACTGAAGGTAGGACCAACTTCACAAGATTAGACATTTGAGCATAGAGTACACTTTGTTTTTCATCAAGTTCAGACATATCTTAGCAGGAAAACAGTGGTCAATTAAACATGTAATTATAATCTAAGAATTCCATGGTGATTGTCATAAATAAGTAAAATAGCTACAGGATACGAGATAGTAGTGCGGCCACCAAGTCATAATTGTCTGTTGCGGTTGTTGGGATAACCTGGACAGGATTAAATTTTTACTAAATAGAAAGTAGTTGAGTGTAGCTACTGGCTGTAATGCAATAATTATATTTAGTAGTTTTAAAAATAAAGATCAAAGAGCAAATTAAGAAAAGGCTATACCAGTCAAGAATAAAAATGCAACTAAAAATAAGCACTATGTACAATGAAATATAAGTATAGAGAACCGTCTAGCGTCATTGTTGAAGCAACACAAGCAAACACTTGGGACCATTGCTATTTCCAGTATTTCAGAATTTCATATGGCAGGTGCTTAATAAGGATGAAAAAAATAAAATAATGGGCATGTAGCAGAATTTAAGAAATCGAAGTACACTGAACAAAAAAAGGTAAAGGTAACAATCAACAAAACCTTGAGACATCCAATTATTGAATCCTTGAAGCAAGAAAATATGGATAAAAAATAAGAACTGCAAGATTTCAATTAATTCATCACATTATCATTTTTAGAATGAGTATAGGGCATTTACAGAACAACCACCATAACTACCAGTCAAGCTAATTAAAAAATAATCATAAAAAAATAAGATATAATTATAAATAATTTCTAAAAAAAATAAATATTAAACACATAAACAAAACCATACCTATTTAGATCAATACCCCATAATTACAGAGGAGCAACACATTTAATTAAAAAAAAACTGCAATATCTTGAAGGTAGGCAAAATCTCCAATTTGTCAAAAACATTTCAGTAATTCCAAGCACTACCAGTAGAAGCATTGGTGGCAACGGCCAGAGTGCCATCAAAGTCTTTTCTTTATGCAATTTATTCAACCAATATAGTAGCAGATCTTCCAAACAAAGTTGACATTTTTGAACGGGGAAAAAGCCTAGTATGTTTTCTTTTTTTATTTCTTCTCCATTTTTTCCCTGCTTTTCTTTTATTTCTTTATAAATAAAGCAATTAGAATCCAGATTATAACATCTTCATGATCAAGGAAAAAAAAAGAAAAAGGCAGCTTCACAGGATTGTGGGGATAAATGCAGTTAATTCTAAATAATTTTTTGTCAAACCTGATGAGAGGTAAGATGACTACATAAATCAAAAAGATTATAGTAGAAGTTATAAGAAAAACTGGAAATAAAGCATACACTAAATGCACCTTTAAAAAGTAGCAAAAAATTGAATATTATTGTGGTTTATGTTGAGTATAAAAAAGCTACAAGTTTTGCAAAGATGGTGGTGAATATAACAAAATTCATAGCTTTTAATGATTAAAATAATATGCTTGGTGCAAATAATGAAAGGCATTCGTAAAATAAAGGATAAAAAATGTGACGATATTGATCAATTTAAATACATTAAAAGTGAATAAGATAAGTTAACTAAAAATAAAGATGTCTAGATATTACTACGGAGAAACTATTAATTAAGAGCTTTAAAGGAAGAATCCTTTTGGAAGATCATAATAAATAGTATAGCGAAGTATATTATAAATTGATCTAAAAAATGGAGTTAACTCTAAGAAAGACGCATAAAGGTATGAGATACCTATTGAGATTTGGAGAGTGTCGGAATATTGTAATGATTTTATTAATAAATCCTTTCAATAGAATTTTGAATGTAGGGTGATGTCAGTGATTGGATAAAAAAATATTTAATTATTAATATTTAAGGAAAAAAAGTTATTCAAGGTTGTGCAAACTTTCAAGAAATAAAATTAATGAGACATATAATGAAACCATGAAAGAGAGCAAAAAACCATAACCTTGGAAAAATCATATCAATTTTTGTAAAGCTACATGCCAAAAAGATCTTTAGAGCTTGTGTAACATTCAATATTGATAAAACAGGTAAACATTTTGGCAATTATGAAATATATCCCAAAATTTGCATCCCTCGGAATTCAACCTAGTCAACTTTATAAAATTTTACATGTCAAATCAATCAATTTGATATATCAAACCCTTATGAATTACAAGCGCGTGAGAAGTTATAAAAGTTTGAATTTCTAAGCTTAATTAATCTGAATCTCTTATCATTAATCCCATTCAACATTCCCAGCCGACATTCCCCACATCAAACTGCGCATGTGTCAGTTTGATAGATTGAACGGCTGGAAAATTAAGTGGGCCTTAGATAAACGTCGCATTCCTCTCATTTTCCCTCTCCCGTTACTTTGAGTTCGCATGCTTGGAAGGTTTGCAATCACGACACCACAACAGGTGCAGCCACGCAACCCGCAGGGAGCCTCAAGCGGCTATTGTGAGTAAAAATCCCTCTTTTACAACATTCTAAACATTTCTTTCCTTCCCTGCGTTCATGTTTTGATATTTTCCACAAATTAAGGCATTTCACGTGTTACATGTTGTTGTAACTTTACGGGACAGCCATGAGATTGTCAAACTGATACTATGCTCTCCGATGAGTCCATTTCACAAGTTGGGGAAGTGTTGGAGGGAAGCGTTAGAGGGAAAGAAAGAAAGAGGGAATAGAATAGAAAGGTATTGAAGAAACATATTTATGTTGAGAGCCCTTTCGAGATAAATTAAAGTAAAAAAATCATATTTGAGGTTAGTTTAAGATCTCATTTACGGATTTCATGAGATTTAAGGTATTACGAATTTTATGTTATTTACACTAAACGGAGCTCGAGCTGAATTTGGGAAAACTTATTGTAGGGCTGCTCCATTGATTTAGGCAAAATAATCATGTGATAACTTAATAAAAATAACTCTATGTCGGTTTTCATATGATTCTATTTGAAAAAATTACATTTATGATTTTTTGCATGTTGTGGATAAATACCTGCATAGACTGTATGAATGAAAATTTGCTTTGTTTCTCAAGATACTTATGATTTTACTATGTTGTGAATATGATGAATATGTTTATGAAATCATTGTTTACATGTATTTGTTTATTATGATTCATGCATATGACATATTAAATACCTATGATGAATATTTGTTATAACAATTATGACTTAAAAAATGTCACAAGTGATGTTATAAGTAGACTATTACATTAATATTTGCAACTATGGATGATAAGGAGCGATGAGATTTCGAACTCCTGACATTCAAATGGAAACAGAACTTCAAGACCGTTGGGATCGGTCTATTGATAATTGTTATATTGGAATGGACCCAACCTTTATCAATGGTTAATGTAACATTCGCACAAGGTAACGACCCAATGACATGACATAATATAGAAATAAATGAGGCCTATATAATTACAAGTGACATTTCTATGATTATCATGATATGTCAATGAAATACATGTTTTATAAAGCAATCATTATTCTCTACATTACATGTCTTTTCATTTACATGATTTATACGATTATAACATGTGATATGTTATGAATATGTACATAAGCTACAAATGATCATGCAAATTATTTCTTTCCATCCATAAAATTTTTCTTTAGCCTTGTTTATCTTATTGAGCTTGTTGTAGCTCACTTTTCGTTCTCGACTTTCAGGAAGAGGTAAGGAGCAATAGTGTGTATAGCAAAGTGTTAAGTGTACAATTTTTACATTACATAGATTTGGGAGCTTAAACAAACTTTTGGGCAACATATTTTTATTATATTGGATTTAGTAGCTCTCTATAAATATATATCTTATGTGATATGATTTTTCTCGTTTCTAAGCATATGAATATGAAATGTACTATGTATGCGACTTAGTTGGACTAGTTCATCACCCACTAGATCTTAGTCATACAAGTCAGGATAAATACGGGTGAGAATTTAGTCTGACTGAATCATCCGCCTCTGTCGCATTGCGATTGACCCTAAAATAGGGGGTCAATTAGGGTTTGACAAATTGTGACAAGTATAATTAATATTTCAGATATTACTACAAGTGTTGGAGTAATTTTTTTTTTATTAAGATATTACTACAAGTGTTGGAGTAATTTTTTTTTTTATATTGAAGCATCACATTCTTTCTTGTTTGAATTATTCTTTAGTAAATTGCATCTAAAACCATTTCATTGTACTCCTAATTTGCATATTAGGCTATCTACTTGTTATAGCATGTTTGCTATTATTTTATGCCTTGTTGAGATTGTGATACCTAGAAAGTCATTTAAATTTAAATTGATTTGCTACCGATAATCAAATTTGAAATACTTTTGAGTATGAATTGATTGATAAAACATTCTACTCTTAGTGTGAGAAGGGGGTAGTTTCGTATTTCATTAATTTTATCAAAGTGAATAAAAGGATGAAACCCAACAATAGTGAACTAATATTTTTAGCAAAATTAGAAACAAACAAAAAGGCAAGTAATATATGCATTCTTATAGTAAATGAGTATTTTGATTTTTTCAGTGAGTTTTTTCAATGAGTTTGTTGGTTTACCACTGAAAAAAAGAAAGTGAGTTTATAATAGATATTTAGCCTAGAATTGGTCGATTGTCAAAACACCACATAGATTGTTGGTTTACCACTGAAAAAAAGAAAGTGAGTTTATAATAGATATTTAGCCTAGAATTGGTCGATTGTCAAAACACCACATAGAATAACTACAAAATTATTATAAGAGTTAACGAGTCGAGTAACAAAATTCATTAAAAAAATTTATTAGATCGAGTACATCTCCTTGGAGTGTTCTAGTTTTATTTGAGAAAAAGAAGGATGTTATGAACAATGTCGAGTGGGTGAGGCCGTGCATAAAAGCAATAAGGAAGCAAAAGATGAAGACGACACTACTGGTGCCGCTTGCAACCAGGAGAGCAGATACAAGCTCAAGTGGACTTAGGGTTCAAGCAGACATAGATGAAGGCAATGAAGATGGGAGTCATGGGCGTCAAACCATCTATATACCAAAGAGAGCGAATTAAACTTCAAGAGATTAAACAACAGTTTTAAAGTAAAAAATACAAAACTAATTAAATTTTTTATGTTTAAATAATTATTTTAATAATAAAATATATATAATATTGATTAATAATATAAAAATAAAAACTATGTTAAATGTATAAAAATTGTTAGGCGGTAACATTAAGAGTTTAAG